GAGAGAGAGAGAGAGAGAGAGAGAGAGAGAGAGAGAGAGATGTGGTTGGTACTTTATACACCCAGCATACCTTACATTGATTTCCAAAAACATTTGTCAGTGCTTTTTATTTTTCATGTATCCTCAACTTACTCATAAGTGTTCTTTCCTTTCTACCCACAATATCCCTTCTACCCTTCTTCCCTCATCGAATCACCTCAAATAGGAGAGGACAAACAGCATCTCATAGGCTGAATGTAATCCCAGCCCCATTTCTGTGGCATCTGTAGCCCTCTAAAATTTTCCACTTCCACATACAAATAATAGAGACAAAGATTTCAGCCTTACCCTCTCCAATGACATCACTACATTGTAAAGGACATGTCATCTGTCTTTTAGAAAGAAAGAAAGAAAAATGCAAAAAGATTGCCTCCCTTTAGTCTGAATGATATACATGACTTAACTGTTGCTGCAAAGTATACTCACATCTGTTATTAAATAGAGAATTCCTTTCCTCAGGAATAATCTCTTTAGTTATTATGTTTTCTTTCCCATTTCAAACAATGCTTGCACAAGTAAAGGTCATAAGATTGTTGGTAAACTTGGTAGAAAGCATAGCACAATCTATTTACTAATTCAAGAATAAAGTTGAATTCTACAACTGTATGGAGTCCTATTGCAGGATTTCTTTTCTGAAACTACTGAAATCTGACCAGAAGAAATGTGCAACTCTTCTCAAAAGATTTTAGCTCACCAGCATAATTTTCTTAGAAGATGATGTCTAGAGATATTCTTTTGAAGCTTCTTTGTTGACTCAACAATGCCTTTTCGATCTCTCTCTTTTTTTTTTTAACAGTAAGCAATTCTGTATAAAGGTAACATTCTCTGTAAAATGCTTGTTTATATTTTGCCCCTAGGCAGAAAAATGCCCCTTGACATTTGTGATAATTATTCTTGTAATCTTTGGAGATACATTTGGAGGCATTTATTTAAAGCATCTTTATTTAAAGCAATTAATTGGATACTCAAGGAAGCTTCTATTCCAAGTTTTTCAGCCTTGGCAACTTTAAGATGGGTGGACTTCAACTCCCAGAGTTCCCAGAATCTCCCTTTCTTTGGGAGAATTCGGGGCGTTGAAGTCCACCTCTCTTAAAGTTGCCAAGGTCAAAAAACACTCTCTAAAGCAATGTTTCTCAATCTTGGCAGCTTTAGGATGCATGGAGTGGCTGGGGAATTCTGGGAGTTGAAGTCCATGAATCTTAAAGCTGCCAAGGTTGAGAAACACTCTTCTATTGACATGGAACAGAGGATGGATAAGCAGTTAAATAGGAGCAAGAGAGCAAGAGAGCAAGAGAGAGAGAGAGAGAGAGAGAATGCATTTAATCCATAGATAGTGTTTCTCATGAGTCAAAAATGGCCCGATCTGTGGATCCAGAATCACTTTTTTTGCTGTTTCAAATAATTTTATTAAGCATTACAGTTATAGAGATAAAAACTAATATTAACTAAAAAAAAGAATAGAAAGAAAAAGAAAGAAAAAGAAAAAGAGAACAATATATAAGAAAAATAGAGAAAAAAATAAAAAAATAAAAAGTAACAAAAAAACAAATAACTCATATAAATAAATAAATAAATCAGTCCTGGTCAGCAAAAGTCCATTAAGGGTTACAAAAAATAACAACATCTATTTTAACCTTGATTAAATAAACCAACTTTACATTCCTTTACTTTTAACAATTTTGTTCTTTAATCCCTTAAATGATGTGCTAGAACTTGATTTATTTTATTTTTTTCTTTGTTCCTTCTCACCTATTCTTTCAAAACTTTAACAAGTCTCCTTTGTAGACCCAATACAGGAAAATTATTCAAATAACTCTCCTGGTTGTTTGTTGTATGTCCCTTTTGATGATCAAAATGATAGCTGGTTTCATTTGTATATCCAGTATTTCATCTTTTGTTAATCGTTCTTGTAGCCTGTCATTTTTTAATCCACATACAGATCTATTTTGGTCTTATCCAACCTTCTGTGATGGAAAGAATGAGCAGGGAGGATTCTGGAATAGCGCTTCAAGGTTACAGGGAGGCAGGAGAGAGATTCCAAAGGAAGCATCTCCTCAGCCCCCAGCTGGGACTGTGTGAAAGTCAAGAGAAAGAGACTGGCCCCTCCCTAAGAGCATAATGGTTATAGTTGCTGTCATTGGGAGATTAGAGTTAGTCTGTTGAGATTCTGTCTATTAGGTGCAGGCTAATAAAGAAGCTGAGCTGATTCCTGGACTGTCTCGTGTGATTCTTGGGCTGAAACTGACACCTTCCTTTCCTTTCCTTTCCTTTCCTTTCCTTTCCTTTCCTTTCCTTTCCTTTCCTTT